CTCTGATCACCTGATCGGCCCCAGGAATCATGCCTGGACAGGGGTCCCCCATCTCCCTCTGATCGCTTGCTCCACCCCCCGCCCAAGCCTGATGCCTCTAACCCAGGCTTCAGGCCTGGGCAAGGGGACCATCATATCCCCCCATACCCGGCTCCACCCCCCGCCCAGGCCTGATGCCTCTGCCAGAGGAGTTGATCCTCATCACCCTCTGATCACCAATCACCGGATCGGCCCCTTGACCAGGCCTGAGGCCTCCGGCAGAGGTGTCAGGCCTGGGCAGGGGACCCCCAGCTCCCCGTGGTTGCAGGCTGCGCCCCTGCCCAGGCCTCATGCCTCTGGCCTAGGCGTCCGGCCCGGGCAGCGGGGACCTGCAGTGGCAGCGGGGGGCGCCGTGATCGCGCAGGCTCCGCTCCTGCCCCTGCAGGACACCTCTGGCTGAGGCGTCCAGCCCCGGCAGCGGGGACCCGCAGCTGCAGCGGCCCCGCAATCGTGGGCTCCGCTTTAGGCCCAGGCAAAGGACCCCTAGCTCCTGGGACTGCCAGCTTCGACCGGGCCCAGCTCCCATCGCTGGCTCCACCCCTACTTCCTGCTATCACTGGCCAGGGCGGCAAAGGCACCTGATTCTCCGATCATGGCTGGGGGGCAGGGCTCTGCCCCCCAACTCTTAGCTCCCCCCTGGGTTTCCGATCACTGTCAGTGGCAGGGGGCTTCTTCCTGCTTTCCCTTTCGCCTCCCTGCCTTGTGCCTACATATGCAAATTAACCGCCATCTTGTTGGCAGTTAACTGCCAATCTTAGTTGGAAGTTAATTTGCATATAGCCCCGATTAGCCAATGAAAAGGGTAGCGTCGTACGCCAATTACCATTTTTCTCTTTTATTAATGTAGATAAACAGGGTAAAAGGGCAGCATCCACACAATAAAAACTTTTAACAAATAAAATTTTCAAGCAAGGAGGTATCTCAAACAGCAGAATTCATAGGTGGACGCAGAGTTCCACTAGGCTGAAGCTAAAAACTTGAATAGTTTACGTGAAAAGAGCAGGCAATAGAAAACACTCTGGAAGTGACCTTAGAGGGTTTTAAATATTTAATGGGAGTCATACAGGATGGCCAAGTGTAAGTGAGCATCTACATCGTCTTTGCATTCTGTGGACAATTTAAACAGCCACTTAACCTCCTTGCTCAAAAGCATCTGATGTGTCCGTTTCCCACCTGTGTGAAGCTTTAGGAGAACGGCTTCTATTTTTCTGATTAGGTGAAGTCAGGGACCCGCCTATCTCTGGACTCACAGAACGCTCAGAGTGCTTAGGCACTGAAGAGAGAGGCTATGCCTGTGGCTGGCACACCAGTAAGGGCTTATCACAGAGTGAGGGGTGAGGGCCACTGTTCTCATGAGGTTATATTTATAGTCGCAAAGATACACTGTTGTCAGAATTTGCTAAATGTATACACTCAAACAGCCAACCATTTTTGGAATTCTGTTTGACATTTCAAAAAAGAGAAGTGTCTTCACCTTTTGAAAGGTAAGCCTGTAGAAATCAAATTATAATGCCATAAAATAGCATCGAATATAGTAATGGAATATCTTAAGCTCTTAACCCCATGGTGTCTTTTAAAAATTGTACAAACACAGTGAAAGTAACAAGGAGAGAAAATTACAAATAACTTCAAGTGCTGACACGTTCACAAATAAGGCAATATATCGTTGGAGGACTTCCACTAATTCATACAATGAAATTATCTTGGGCCTCAAAGGTATCTGTGGCTTACTTTTGCATATACTTTTTGTTCATCTTGCACATCCTGGCGGGCTTGGATTTCAACCATCTCGTACTGCAGGGAAGCAACCATCTTTCCAACGTTTTCTGTCGCCATTAAAATAGCTTGCAAAATACGTCTATCTGTAGTGACCGGTTTTAAGTTTTCTAATTTCATTTCTTCATAAATTTCATTCCATATTTCTCCAATCTGTTATAACAAAGTTTAAGTTTAAAAAAGTCAAATTAACAAAAAATAAAAATACAATTTTCGGTAATACTTTATTGTGATTGTTGTTCCAAAGTTAACATGTACCGAACCAGCTTTTCCTAACTTACTCCTTAGGCATAGATAAAATTCAGTCCCCTTTTCATTTGAAAATAGAAGTTTATTCATTTACGACATTCAAACACAGTATACTAGCATTAGTAGAAGAAATGTATACTTGAACAGACTCCCCTGAAACTTCAAAAGCATTTATTTACCAAAAATATAACCAGCAACGTAAGCAACCTATCCTTGAACTGACATTTGATATCACATAAAGTAATGATAAAAGAATAATAAGTATTAATTTATTTTAATAAGCAATAACTCATTTAACTTTAGCTCCTAATGATCTATAAAGAAAAGAAATTACATTTTACACATTCTATTAGGCTTCTGAATAGCTCTATCTCAGTAAGAGCCATCTTATTTTATAAGCTCACCAGAGGCCTGGTGCACAAAATTCATAAACCGGTAGGGTCCCCAGGCCTGGCCGGCGATCAGGGCCAATTGGGGCCTTCTGGCTGCTGGCCTGAGCCTTCCTTCCCCCGGCTGCCAGATGCCAGATGGGGCCTTCCTTTGTTCTGTGCCACTCCCTGGTGGTCAGTGCACCTCATAGTGGGCGGTTGAGCTCCCGGTAGGTCGAACTCCCAAGGGGAAATTTGCATGTTAGCTTTTTATTATATAGGATAGTGGATGAAATCTTATCCCATAGAAAATATAGAATCAATTTTTGTTATGTCTTTTGAATAGTATCTGATGCAAAATGGAAAATGAACACTGCACAGTTTGGGTGACTGCTCACAATTACAAACAGATATTTTATTTCCCAATTGACATTTTTTGCCATATGAGGTTTTAATAATAAGGTGAAGAAGGTACTCACTTTAAAGTCAAGATATCTATGTATGATACAAAGGGTCACAAAATCTTCCGTAGAGAGGCCAGGTAAATTTTCAAAATCTAAACGAAGTTTATATAGAGAGAATTACTTTAACAGAGCACGTGATCCCACCACACACACACACAATTAAAACAGTGCAAGCAGTTCCTTTTGAACTCATCTTGACGTATGAAAAAGTTACTTCTATGAGCTTCTGACTTCTTAATGCCAGGCCATCCTTACGTACTCACTAAGGAGGAATAGTTTCTGTGCTTTGGTCAGACTATGGTAATATTCTTTCAGAACCCCCAAAGTGAGGACTTTTTCCTTAGTCAGAAGCAGGACTTTAAAAAAAAAAAACACCCTCAGGTGACTCAGAATTTTTGTGTTGATCCTAGTTATCCAAACTAACTGCCTTTAATTTGATTGATCAGGGTGCAGCCTGGACATCGGGAAAACAATGGAACATGCATTTATCAGTATAAAGGACCTTTTGTTCATCATGTTTGAAAAACAGGTTCCAAAGCAAAAGCAATATACATACTTAGCAAAACAGAGAGGCTTTTGTGAATCTGGAGAGTAGCTTCTTACCTAGTTTGCCCAACACAGCATAAATTTTTGCTCTAATGTTTTCTGAAACATCCATAATTGCAAAAGTCGGGCAGTTAGCAGGCATTGGCATGATTTTTTGCTCCACTTGAAAACTAGTAAATAGAGGTTTCCTTGTATCTAATCAGTAGATGTCGTGAAAACAGAGAGAGACAGATAAAAACAGTAGTAAATTAATATGTAATTTTGAGATTTTAGTCCAGACATCATAAAACAGTGGTCCTCAACCTTCCTAATGCCGTGACCCTTTAATACAGTTCCTCTTGTTGTGGTGACCCCCAATTTCATTGTTACAAATTAAACATAATTAAAGCATAGTGATTAATCACAAAAACAATATGCAATTATATATATGTTTTCCAATGGTCGTAGGCGACCCCTGTGAAAGGGTCGTTCGACCCCCAAAGGGGTTGCGATCCACAGGTTGAGAAACACTGTCATAAAATATTTAAGAACATTATAACACATTAAAATAGTGCCTTGTACATGGTTACTCTTTTTTAAAAAAACAAACAAACAAATAAAAACCCATATATTTTTTTGTTGATTTCAGAGAGGAGGGGAGAGGTAGAGAGAGATAGAAGCATCAACGATGACAGAATCATTGATCCACTGCCTCCTGCATGCCCCACACTGGGGATCGAGCCTATAACCCAGGCACATGCCATGACCTGAAATTAAACTGTATGGTTCATAGATTGACACTTAACCCCTGAGCTACACTGACTGCATGGTTAATCTTTTGAAAGCATCAGTAATCAGTGATTTCTTCCCCATTCTGTGGCAAAACTTATAGCTTTCATTTTTATTATTTATGTAAGATATAAACATTTCAGAAAATTACTTTTTAAAAGTGAAATTCTTGCCCTGGCCAGGTGGCTCAGCTGGCTAGAGCATCATCCTGTACACCAAAAGGTTGCAAGTTCAATTCCTGGTCAGGGCACATTCCTAGGTTGCAGGTTTGATCCCCAATTGGGGCATGTACAAGAGGCAAAATTGATGTTTCTCTCTCACATCGATGTCTCTCTCCTTTCCTTTCTCTCTAAAAAATCAATAAAAAACATATCCTCGAAAGAGGATTAAAAAAATAAAAAGTGAAACTCATGTAATTTTTCTAATTTTGAAATCCAGATTTTGAATAATGTCAATTTAACAATGATGTAGAAAAAACCAAGATGGCAGCATAGGCAAACACCTGAAATTGCTGCCTCGCACAACCACTTCAAAACTACAACCAAAAGAAAAAACAGACATCATCCAGAACCACAGGAAGGCTGAGTGGAAATTCTACAACTAGAAGGAAAGAGAAAAGCACACTGAGACTCAGAGGAGGTGCAGAAGTAACTTGCAGCGATTACCGTGGGGACACTGAGACCCGGGGGCCTCTAAGGGCAGGACTGAGAACCAGCCATAGCTGTTTGGTCCACCCTGTTGATTCCCTGAGACCCCGCCCACCCCATGTGCATAGAGGCTTTTGCATATAAAAGACTTGGCCCTTTGCAATCTGAAAATTGCCTAACAAACTGCAGCTGGGTCAGAGAGACCCAGAACATCCAAAAGAAGGCACAAGTTCCCACAGCAGCTTGCATTGCTTCACAACGGGGCCTCATCTGGGCAGCTCCAAACCCCAAACAAAGAAGAGGAATCTGCAGATCTCTCCATAGCTCCTGCTGGGTAGCCTTGGGCAGAAGCTAAATTAGCAACTCCTTAGAGATCCAAGAGGCTGTGTACCCAGTGGTCAGATTGGGACCATCCAGATTACAACTCCTCAGATCCATAAGGGACACACTCGAGGCAGACTCA